CTCCCTGGGGCGGGGGACGTCGCCGGGAGTGGGGTTTACCATTTTTTGCCATATCAGTATCAAAATAGGTTCCTCATCAAAATACCAACTTGATATCCAAATGCAAATATCAACTAGCACAGCATAAACAATAGATCAAAACTTCAATCACATAGTGAGACCAAATCTTTTAACGTGGAAAACCCAATGTGAGAAAAACCACGGGACCGTAGTCCACCTCAAACTTCCACTATCAATAATAATGATAACATGTTTACAATATGTTTTCTCTAGAATAACTAGAGGACATAGATCTTAGCTCAACAATAGCATATCTTCATCACGTAGGATGAATCTCCTCAAAAGAGAATTCTAGGTCTCACAGAGCGGATATCGTAGGAAAGTTCCTTAGAGAGGGTAAACTGCAGATCAACACCGTTAGGATTGTAGAGTTTGCTGCAAGGATTCTCCACATAAAATTTGGGCTGAAACTGACTACTTTTGACCACCGATCGTCAAGCAGAAAACTTAGAAACCTAATTTTTCTCTCTCCTCTTTCCTCTGCACGCCGCACGCTGCAATCTGATATCTTTTTCCTCACCTTCTCTCTTCTCTTTTTAATTTCTTTCATTTGCTGATTTGGACTCAATATGTCCAATTATCCAAGCCCACATATGAGCTGGACCAATAGATGAAAGTGGGCCCTCTGACGAGGGCTGTGGGTGGAGGGGGACAATCAGTCATGAGACATAGAGGGGTAGCTAGGGTTATAAGTGATGACAACCCTCTCTCATGTGAGGGCTACATGCGACACAACAAGAGTTGCGTGTGGCGATGCAAGACAAAGACAATGATAGGTTCGAGAAAAAAATATTTTTTTAAATTTACCAGGGATAAAATAATTTTTTTTATATGATTAAAAGCGTTTTACGAATAATTTTTAAATTTGAGGTGCTATTTGAAAATTTTTCAAACTTAAAAGCGTTTTAAAGAATTTGCGCAATATACTATTAATTCATTTACAAAATATTTGTTGAAGAAACGAAAAATTTTGGGATGCTCGACACTGATTTGCACATAAAGTTAAAGATTTCGTTGGAAGCCAATGCTTTGAACAGTCCGAATAGATCCCTTTTTTTTTTTAATACATACCAAAAGACTACCATTGATCTTATTAGTGAAATCATACCTTATTATTTATTGTGATATTTAATATTGTCTTAAAAAGTTTTAAAGGGAATAAACATCTAAGTTTCTCCGTGAATTAACTACTCAACCTCTTTACCTTCTACATAAACGATGTGGTAACAGGAAATGAGGACAAGTGCAGTTAGTTCTCGGACGAAATGAGGATGATATCGTCGCACAGAAGGGAACGCGGCAGTTGTCTGTATAAGAAGGTAGAACGAGTGGGAACAAAACCACTCACTCTCTCCAAGAAAAAGATGAAGGCGAAGGCAGGGAAGATAGAACTGGAGCAATATGTCCACTTCTACTTGGATCCAGGCCGTTCCTACGCCTCTCTCGCCCATCTCAAGCAGGTGCGTGTCCCCTCTTCCTCTTCCCTGCTCGTACTCCGTCCCGCTCAAGAACCCTCTTCCCTTCTATCCTCATCTCTCTCTCTCTCTCTCTCATTACTCTCCACCTTCCCAGATCGTCACCATGCACGGTTTGAACCAGCTCCATAACTGTCCCAAGGTAAACTTCTCTCTGCATCTCCTTCTCTGTTTGGCTTTGATGACACAAGATTTATAATGATAATGTTTGTTGTAGTCTTTCTTAATCTCCCGGTTTCATCTCTTTCTTGGGATATGAGGGGTTTGGGTGCAAATATGTTGTTGTGTGAGCAGAGGCATATCATCGAATGCTTGGAGTCCATCGAAACGATGTCGCCGGCCAGGAAGACCCTCGAGAAGAGCGTCACGTCCCGTGCCTTCTTGTTGGCCGACGAGGTCGTCGCCGACCTCACCGACATCGGCTGGGAGGAGTGCCATGTCCGATCACTCCTCACTCTCGATCCTCGGTCCGGTGCCGTGGTCGTGCACGAGCTCGAGGTCCCAGCCGACGGAATCGGTGGCTTCTCGCCAGCGGCCGTCCTTCCATCCGTCGCGCCACGCAGAGAGCGCCATCAGAGGCGCGGGAGGAGCGCGCCGGCCGCTGACTTCGAGATCTTGAAAGGGCGGCCGAGGTCCAAGCGGAAGCACATCTCCATCAACGCCATCAGCCCGACCTCCTCCACCACAGCCGCATCGGGCGCAGTCGGGGCGTCACCGTCCACATGGACGTCTATCCCTCCGCCTCCATCCCCGCAGTCGGAATAGCCGTATCCGTCGACCACGTGAACGCCGCTTCTTCTGCCTATAGAAGTGGAAGAAAAGCAAAAGGGTAGCGCTGATGCGATCATAACCGTCCGATTCGGTTTGCCACGCCTAGCTTTTATTCATCTTCTCTTCCTGTTTCGTTTCTGTTAAGGTCTCTCTGACACATACAACATATACTCTTCTCGTAACCACTGTTGCTCGTGTAGGCATTTTGGACGGCATCAACTATTATAACTTTGGTTCTGAAACGTTGCTCAGACTAGTTTAATATACAGAAAAGAAGGCGCCCAGTTGTTCTGATAAGAAAATTAAATTAGCAGAGGCATAGCATTCATTAGGAATTTTATTTCTAGATAGTCTTAATCAATACTTGTCTCTGTAGAAACTACTATTATGAGGAAGTATATGACCTATGCAGATGCAATATTTCTATAAATATGCAAGGTTACTTTCTTCTCACAGTAGCATTTATTGTGTGCCAGGGGTACGCCAACCCTAAGTGGTGAGTTAATGTTAGCAGGCATATGCAATTTCTTAAGCAAAATATGTTATTATTACATGCAAAGAAATGATTGATCAATGTAATAGGTCATGGTGGGGTTAATCTTCTTCTTTCGTAGCCAATACTGCTTTCTTATGCAAGCCAAAGATTACTTGAACATTGTCCGGTGACGGATTAACTTTTCCCTCAATTTTGGAGGACAATATATGGGAATTTGTGGTTTTGGTTGGACAATTGCAAGCTTGAAGCTGTTCTGCAGAGGATAGGAAGGAATAAACTTAAATTTATAGCAACATACCACATTGAATAATTGAAAAGGATTGAAGGTTTAAATTTGATCGTCATCAATCACAAAAGAATATCGCAGTCCTCAGAGGAGCTAAATCATTTTGATGAATATTAATTAATTAAAATCAACTATATAGCTTTGATGTCATTGTGCTAACAGTCAAGGATTTTTAAGCTACAAGAGAATATCTATAAGGATATAAATGCTCGACTCAGATTTAGAGGGGGGTAAATATAAAAAACAACGTTAGAGGGATAGCAGTGAGTGAGAAAAAAACAAGCATTATATCCTTATAGAATTAATAGTTCCTCCTTAGGAAGAATAATATAGAGAAGAGGTAGGGAGGCGACCCTTGCGATAGGAGGCAAGAAGCGACTGAGAACAAGGGCACCTCGCGGGCAGCACACATTCCCGTACCTTTAACGATGAGTGCGAGGGTGACTTAGGAAGAATAACCAGTTCCTCCTCAGGAAGAATAATATAGATGCAAATCAAATAGACACAGAGTCCCTAAACATATGAGATCATGACGAACATTGAAAAATTTATATATGATTTGGAGTATTGAAAGATTAATATTTATCTTTTACTGATTTTTAAGTCTCTCATATTACTGATTTTCGAACCTTCGAGTCTTGATATTTTGGTTGGTTTGAATGCAAACAGGTATATTTATATTTCGACTTTAACTAATAAAATTTTTAATAAGACTAATCACTTCTTGAAGGGTGAGCAAAGAGCTTAAAAAAACCTTCACGGCTGCTGTTTGATAATGACAATCCCATCCCATCCCATCATCCTACCGTAAAGATTATTTCTTTTAACCATAGCTGAACTAGCTGTATAGTGATGAATGTATGGATTTCTAGCCCTAGAAATGATTGTTTTTTACTTTTACATTACCCCTACTTGAAACAGGGATGAGAGTTGAAAAAATTCGAATTCTTAATCCTCTATGGAGTGTTTTTAGGAACAAGGAAATTATGATGTTGATTCCATATTGTTGTGTCATCTAATGAATTTATTAAAATTAATCTTAGTAACATATATATTTTATTTACGTATTATATATACTACATATGTGCAATTTTATCATTCTTTTTCTAAATATAAAATTAATCTACTTGAAGTAGATGACTTGTGAATAATATTGAAAAAAAATCACCTATTTATAGATATTAGTGTTAATTTGATCTGTTTAATTTAAGTGTGGATGACTTTTAATTGGACTTTGGATGAATTTTAATATAGAAATATAAAACTAACAGGATTTATGTTTTAAGTAATTTATTAAGTTCAAGCTCAAGCATATTAAAATTTATGCCATTATTTTAGTTACGATTCATATCCTGTATGAACGTTCCAATGGGAACTGTTGGAGACCTCCATTTTTATATTAAAAATATAAGCCATATATAAACTTTATTTCTAATTAATTTTTTTCAATTACACTAAACCGAAGACAAGAGATTCTTCAAATGGATTCGATCGTTACATCAATTAACTACGCAACAGTATTCTACAATTTGCTATTCTACTTTGTCCATGAGCTGTATGAATTACTCCTGCTATCATATTCTACGTACAAACATTGGCATGTACTGACACGACATCATTTTCCAACATTAGCATTGTCTCCCGCCACAAACCAGTATCTGAATTCCTCCGCCTTTCATTCCTGTCCCAGGCAAAGAAAACATTGGAGGAAGAGAAGGCAAAGAATGCCAACAGAGAGAAAGCTGAGGAAGTAAGGAATTGCTCTCTGTTATCTCCGTAACACTCTTCGCATCTCCATGGAGATTTGCCCAATCCGACAGCAGTTTGAAGCAGCTTCGACACCATGAATTCCCGTCGCCACTGTTTGCTATCTCTTCTCATCTCCCTTCTTATCCTTGGCTGTTCCTCCTCCGTCGCCTCGGAGGCCGCTTATGTCCCCTCCGATTCGATCCTCCTGAACTGCGGATCTTCCTCGGATGCTACTGACTCCGATGGCCGGAAATGGCTGGCGGACACGACCTCAAAGTCCAGCCTCTCCTCCAGGAACTCGGCCCCTGCGACCGCCCTGTATCAGGACCCGTCTCTCCCCTCGGCTGTCCCCTACATGACGGCGCGGGTCTTCACGTCGGAATCTACCTTCAAGTTCGCCGTCAACAAGAGCGAACGCCACTGGGTCCGCCTCCACTTCTATCCCTCCACCTACAACGGCCTCGCCCCGGATACCTCTTATTTCTCCGTCTCCACTTCCGACGGCATCACCCTCCTCAGCAACTTCGGCGCCTACATCACCGCCAAGGCCCTCACACAAGCCTACATCGTCAAAGAGTTCTCGGTCCTGCCCACCTCCGGCGGAAGTATAAGCCTCACCTTCACGCCGTCAGATAAGTACAACGGTTCTTTCGCTTTTGTCAATGGTATCGAGATCATATCGATGCCCGACATCTTCAGCGAGCCCGCACTGCTGGTCGGCTTCTCCGACCAGAACGTTGAGGTTGGTAGCTCCGCGTCGCTGACGATGTATAGGGTCAACGTTGGAGGGCAGTACTTGCCGCCGAGCAACGATTCCGGCCTTACCAGGTCGTGATACGATGACTCCCCCTACCTCTACGGCGCTGGGTTCGGCGTCACCTTCTCGGCGAGCAGTAAGCTCAAGATCAACTATCTGGAGGAGACGCCGGAGTACATTGCACCCACCGACGTCTATCGAACGACGAGGTCGATGGGCCCTGATCCGAAGGTCAACATGAACTACAATCTCACCTGGATATTCCAAGTCGATGCCAATTTCACCTACGTTGTCAGGCTCCATTTCTGCGAGCTCCAGCTTACCAAGGTCAACCAGAGGGTCTTCGACATCTTTGTCAACATCCAAACTGCGCAAGCTCAAGCAGATGTCATCGCGTGGACTTCTTCCAAAGCCGTGCCAGTCTACAAGGACTACGCCGTGTATGTGACTGATGGCCCTGGTGATGAGTAGCTGTTTGTGGCACTGCATCCTTCGGCAGCCGCAAAGCCCGAATATTACGACTTGTTCTTAATGGTATGGAGATCTTTAAGCTGAATGACACTGCCGGGAACCTGGCAGAACCCAATCCCGAGCCTTAATCGATGCTTGCCGAAGCCGAACTGGACGCGACGCAGCCTAGCTTCTCGTCGGAATTCAAAAGCAAGGTGCATCATATTGTTGGGAAAAATATGTTAAAGCGGAATAATTCTTTCCCTCTTTGTGTATCAAAATAGGTTCCTCATCAAAATACCAACTTGATATCCAAATGAAAATATCAATCAGCACAGCATAAACAATAGAGCAAAAATCAATCACACAATGAGACCAAATCTTTTTAACGTGGAAAACACAATGTGAAAAAAATCACGGGACCGTAGTCCACCTCAAACTTCCACTATCAATAATAATGATAACAGGTTTATAGTATGTCTTTTCTAGAATAACTAGAGGATCATAATAACATCAAAAACATAGATCTTGGCTCAACAATAGCATATCTTCATCATGTAGGATGGATGTCCTCAAAAGAGAATTCTAGATCTCACAGAGTAGATATCGTAAGAAAGTACCTTAAAGAGGGTAAACTGCAGATCAACACCATTAGGATTGTAGAGTTTGCTGCAAGGATTCTCCACATAAAATTTGGGTCGAAACTGACAACGTTTGGCCACCGATCGTCAAGCAGAAAACTCAGAAACCTAATCTTTCTCTCTCTATTTCTCTCTCCTCTTTCCTATGCACGTCGCACGCTGCAATATGCTCTCTTTTTCTCACCTTCTCTCTCCTCTTTTTAATTTTTTTCATTTGCTGATTTGGACTCAAAAGGCCTAATTGTCCAAGCCCACATATGGGCTGGACCCAACAATTCTTCCCCTCCAGCTCATATGGTGGGCTGTACCAAGCCCGCTCTTTGCCTACATGCTTCAAGCTTCTCTTTAGGCAAAGACTTTGTTAATATATCTGCACTATTCTCATTGGTATGCACTTTTTCCAATTATAATTCTTTCATCTCAAGCACTTCACGAATCCAGTGATATCTCACATCAATATGCTTGGATCTAGAATGGTATGTTGAATTCTTGGAGAGGTGAATGACGCTCTGACTATCACAGTAAACAGTATATACTTCCTGTTTCAAGCCCAATTCCTGTAGAAACTTTTTCATCAATAAAGTTTCCTTACAGGCTTCAGTAACTGTTATGTATTATGCTTCTATGGTTGATAGAGCAACACACTTCTGTAACTTAGACTGCCAAGAGACTGCTCCTTCTGCAAATGTCATCAAGAATCCCGAAGTGGACTTCCTGGAATCAGTATCACCTGCCATGTATGCATCTGTGTAGCCTTCTAACACAGGTTCATCACTGCCAAAACATAAACACAACCTGAAAGTACCTCTTAGATATCTTAATATCCATTTCACTGCTGCCCAATATT